AAGTATAACATAGAAATATATCTTTATGTAAAGTTAATTCGTCAACCAGTTATCAGTTTCTTGTATCAAATTCTATAATTGTAATTCTTATTTTCATGTAAAGTTTGTCAACTTATAATTACTTAAAAATTATGTAAATAATTTATATAATAATTGTGTCAGTAAAAGAATATTTTTCAATGTTGAACTGATAAAATCTTACTTTTAGTTAATAATTAAAAAACGATATTTGAAGAAATCATTTTTGTAAAAAAAAATATATTAAGCAATAATTTACATTTAAGAAGTTAGAGAAAATAAATAAGTGCATATGAAATTTATATAAATTTTGAACATCTAACTAAAATTTTACTTTAGATCACAAATTAGATTGAACTGCTCCGTTTATATATTCTACTTTTGAGAGACTTTACCATTCATTTAAAGAATTTGGTTGTGAAAAATATTATTCCACATGTTGGTTGGTTGTACGTAAATGCATGTGTTTGGCACGACCGAAAGTGTTTTTTTAAGAATGTAATTGAATTTATTATTTATTTTAATTTTTTTCTCTCTCTCTATATATATATCAGAATAAAATATAATTCTAACTATATATAATCTAGATAAACATTATATATGAAAGGTGGAAGACTGAAAGTAGGATAGAGGTGACGTGTCGAAGAATGAAAATGATACCATTAATATAAAATATATATCAATCACTTTTTGAACTTGTTTTCTAGATTTTATTAAAAAAATGAATACTTTTCTTCCTATCGAACTCACTTATTATATCCATATAATCATAACCATACACGGTATACATGTATGGAGAACAAATTAAACAACGTGTAAATAATGGGTCAATAACAATGTTTTAGTTTTATTATATGTTTTAGAGATAATGCACAAGTACCCCCTCAATCTATGCCCTAAATTTCAGAGACACACTTATACTGAATTGTCGCGCCTAATTTTTTGTAAAAACGGGTTTGTGCACGACCTAACAACTTTTTTGGGATTTTGAGTTTGGAGTCGCCATTGTCGCGCCCCATTTTCCCATAAAAAACGAGTTTTGTGCATGACCTAACAACTCTTTTGGGATTTTGAGTTTGGAGTTGTCATTTAACGAATTAAGGCGCGTTAGGGCACCTATATAACCTAACTTAGTCTAGCTAAGGTCAACGAGCCAGAGATTAGGGTAAGGGTCCAAATTACCTCGAGGGAAGGTGTTAGGCATCCCTCGAGGTCCACAAATGTGGATCCCGACCGTATCTCATGCAATCTATGTGGGGGTTACAAGTAGCAATTAAGGTCACTTCATTTATTAATATTATTTAAGTAGCATGCTTGCTAGGTGATAAGAAATATAAAACAAATGAGACCATTTTATTATTTTTGACCAATTAATTAATAAAGGCTAGGTGATAGCAAATATTAACATTAAAATCATTTTATTGAATCTAACATGTGAGACTAGGTGATATAACAAAAAGTTGAATCAAATAGCTCATTATTATCTTAATTAATATTTAAACATGCGAGACTAAGTGATAACAATAAAATAGATATACTAAACAATTAAAAAAGAGATAAGCGAGAGGATAGAAAAGATACAAATAAATAAGCAAATAATTTTATTATTTTTATTTTAATCTACCCCAAAATAAATATATATTTAAAACAAACAAGTAAAGGGATAAAAGAGAAGGGAGACTCTAAGAGACTTTTTGGATCAACACTCGACTTTTCAAGCCTGAGTCGATGTCATCATCTTCGTAGGGCCAACTACCCCTACCCAACCACCGCATGCATTTCGTACCTAAAAGGTGCCTAGTCGTCCCAGTTTAATGTCCAAGAGGCATTGGACTCTCAAAGGGTGGGTTTAGACAAAATAGAATATAATGCCCTCCTAAACACCAAGTCAAACAAACAAGGCAAACAAGACGGTCATTTTAGCAATGCAAGTCTCAATTTGGCCTCTAAAAATCAATTAGACGTGCTTGCAAATAACACAACTGTGAAAGGTTTCATGTTGAGTGTGTGAACATACAAACAGACAACAATTTAATTATGACGGGGAAAATATGATAACATAGATGCAAATATTAGTATTGAAGTAATTTTAGGATGAGCAATGATTAATGAAATAATAGCTTTTGTTTGATTTTCAAGTATAGCAAAGGATGTGATTACACATGCACATATATTTTTAAAATAGTAGTCGAATTAATTATTAAGGCAGAAAATTTTATAACAAAAGGCTTAATTTATTTAGGCAGAAAATTATTTTAAGGACACCAATAGATTTATTAGTAACACAAAAAAATTATATTTTTTAAGTGACAAATTTATTATTAATGAAGAAAATTGTTTTTAGAATATTGATGGATTTACAGATTGGTTATTAATGTAAAAAATATATATTTTTAGGCAGAAAATTAATTACAATGAAAAAAATTAATTGATAGCAGATTTTAGATGCAAAAGAGGTTAATTATGATGCAGAAAAATATTAACTATTATTTTTTTATGGACAAATTAGTATGACAATTTTTAGGAAGAAACACAAAATAATAATGTATGCAGAAAATTGCTCTTTTTCATAGAGTTGAAAATATTGAAAGATTGTCTAGTTATAAAACATGCTGAAAATTATTAGGGAGTGACTTTAATGCACAATCTTATTTAATTAAATTCTATATGCATGGTTTCTAAGTGAACATATTGCAACTTATTAATAAGAATTCATATTAACAAATAAGGGACAAATTGACAATTATTAAAACTCTTGCTCCTTTTAACGTAAGTTATCATACTAGAGATTAGCTTATGATTCCCATGATTTTAGGCGATTGGAAAGTTAAAACAACACATATAGATGAAGCAAAAAATATTTTAATCCTATGAGCATGCTTTCTAACACAAAAATATTATAAAATTGCATATAATCCCCCTCCTCTTAGACGATATCCCAAATAAATTTACATATGAGAGCTTTAGAGTTATACAAGGCGGACGAGCCTAAATGTACCGTTATAAGGCAGACGAGCCTAGATGTCGCATTCTAAGGCGAACGAGCCTAAATGTTGAATTGTAAGGCGGGCGAGCCTAGATGTCGCATTGTAAGGCGGACGAGCCTAGATGTCGCATTGTAAGGCGGACGAGCCTAAATATCGCATTGTAAGGCGAACGAGCCTAGATTTCGCATTGTAAGGCGGACGGGCCTAAATGTCGTGTTGTAAGGCGGACGAGCCCATCTGAAGAAAAGGTAGGTCACAGTAGCGAGTTGAGTCTGACAATGTTTCCATGGTAGTCTGGACAGTAGCTGAGTAGTCGAATGACAATGTAAGTAGCAGAAAATCTGACAGTCTTTGTTTGTAAGCATGAAGGGTGGTTGTTCAAAAGGCGGTTGATTTTATCTGTAATCTGCACATCTGTAACTTAGACTATAACTTAAATAAAGTGATTAGAGCAAATATATCAAAATAAGCGGTAAATGTAAACATGATGCAATTCCCATGTTGACCATGAATGTTTCCCTTAAGACCATGAAAAATAACGTCTTAAGGATTGATGTTTAGGGCCATGATATGCAAAATGTATGAAAATGACGCCTTTAGACTATGACACCTTCGGATAATGATAGACAGAAGTTAAACCCTTAGGCCATGATATGATGTCTACAGGCAATAAGGATGATGCCTTTAGACTATGATGCCTTAGGAACATGATAAGCATAAAATAAGTCATCAGGCCATAACATGAAGTCCGTAGTCCATGAAAGATGATGCCTTTGGAATATAAGTAATGAGTAAAGAGGGCGTATCTTTTTTTGGCATCTGTTGATACTTGTGACTTGATTTGATTCGGGCACATGAGCACGATGCAATCTTGGGCTTATGCAAACTTCGAGCACAATGCAGTCTCGAGCACAATGCAATGATGCATTTCTTCGGGCACATGAAATGATGCGTTTCTTCGGGCACATGCATTATCGGGCACATGCAAAGATGCATTTCTTCGGGCGCATGAAATATAGGACACATGCAATGATGCAATTCTTCAGGCACATGCAATATCGAGCACATGCAATGATGTGTTTCTACGATCTTGGGCATAATATAATGATGCAGTTCTTCGAGCATAATGTGATATCAGGCGTAGGTGCAAATGATGCAATATCGGGCAGAATGTAATTTGCCAGCACAGCCGTTGCTTGAGGGCGTACAGTAGCTTGGGCCTTTCTCTTGTTGTAAAGGTCGGGTATTATCGATAGTTTGATATTTGGTCTTGTTGGGAGGAAAATATGTCTTCGAGTTGCGATTTGTTGTACTCAGAGCGATATTGGAGTTGTTTTTGTGTATGTGCATGTACTTTCTACATTCAAAGAAAATTCATGAGTTTAAGAAATGGGGGGAAGGGTGATCTGCTTTGTCTGGTGTGTTCTTCTTTGACCTGCCATCCACACCTCTTCGGGCATCTGTTTTTCATAAAAGGGAGAGGAACTTTGAAAGAATTTGAAATTATCTTTAGTAAAAGAAGCTGATGTTGAATCCTTGACCAAGGAATAGGTTGAGACTTTACAACATCTGACTCAAAAGTAGATTTATCATTCTGATCTTCGTTGTAAGCTGACTGTTTGTGAACTTTTCATATCCTTTTGAAAGGTTCTGTCTCAGCCTTGATTTGTAGCAATTTTGAGGTTCCCTCAAAATTCTGTCCCAATATCGAGGAAAAGTGCTTTCGATGGAATTTTTGAGTTTGTCTAAAAAAATTTGCCCCAGTATCGAGATTTGCAAGGGAAAAAATTTTGATGAAATTTTTGAGACCCTCTCAAAAATTCTGCCCCAGTTGCCAAATAAGGAAAAAATGAAGGTTTTTATCATGATAAGACCAAACCCCTATAGGAGCGCCTACATATCCCTTTTTAAGCGGGAATCAGGTCTTACGTAGTTCCAAATTACAAAGAGCATGAAGCAATCTTTATATGTAATATTTTTTAACAGAATCTCAGTTTATAGGCTTTGGGCAGACTTCTCCATCCATTTTTGCAAGTATGAGGGCCCACCTGTCAGTACTCGAGAGACTTTGTACGGGCCTTGCCAGTTTGGTGAGAATTTACTCTTTGCTTCGTCTTGATTTGGGAAAATCCGCTTGAAAACTAGTTGCCCAGGCGAGAAATGTCTGAATCTAACCTTCTTGTTGAAAGCTCTAGCCATTCTATTCTGATAGAGCTGACCATGACAAATAGCGTTAATTCTTGTTCCATCTATTAATGCTAGATTCTCTGCCCGACTTTGTATCCAGTCAGCGTCACTCAACTTTGCTTCTTGAATGATCCATAGGGATGGTATCTCTACTTCGACGGGTATCACAGCTTCACTACCATATACTAAGAAGTAAGGTGTGGCCCCGGTTGAAGTTCTGATTGTGGCACGATACCCCAGTAGTGCGAAAGGTAGCTTTTCATGCCAGTGTTTGTGGTTGTCAATCATCTTGCGCAATATTCTTTTGATGTTTTTGTTTGCTGCCTCAACAATCCCGTTCATATGTGGCATGTATGTTGTAGAATTAGATGACTGATCTTGAATTTCTCACACATTGATCTCATCAGATCACTAATTATTTTTGACGAAGTCGTCCACAACTTTCTTTGTCACTGATTTGTGGGAGGTGTTCTCCACCCACTTAGTGATATAGTCAATTGCGACAAGAATGAATTTGTGTCCGTTGGATGTTGTTGGCTCGATTGGACCAATGAGATCCATGCCCCATGCCGCGAACGACCAAGGTAAACTAGTGACATGAAGTTCGTTATCCCTGAGGGATCTGTAAACTTTGGTAGTGTGACCCTTCATCCCATAATGGTAGGTGCAGACCTTGTTAGGGTCGTACCATTTTGCGCGAACATCCACAAGTAATGCAGGAATTGGGGAGACATACCCAGCCTATTTTAGTCTTTCATAAAGTTGTGTTATGGGTTCGGCCAAAGGGGAATAATATTTTGTAGGTCTTCTTTCATATGGAGGTCTGTTTCGGTAGTTTGGTGTCTGAGTGGGTGGTGGAGTTTGGAAGTGTGTTAGTTGGACATTATAGACAGGATATGAGGCATGTGAATATTGAGGGGAATGTTTTGGTAATATATTGGCATGGGTTGGGCAGATATAGGGGGTGGAGCTGAGGGATGTTGAGGGTATGGAGTGTGAGGGTATGGGGATGGTGGTAGGTTCGTTGCCTGGTGCCTCAAAGGGGCCTTGGTTCCATGAGCAATCATTATAGAACCTATTTTCTTTCGATTTTCTGTCATTCCACCATATTGCAGAGTTTTGTTGGTTGCTTGCAAAGCCTCCAAATTGATGATAGTCCTATTCTTTATGCCTTCTTCAATTCTTTCGCCTAATTTGATGATTTCAGCGGAACTCTTTTCAGCCACCAGCATCATTCGATCATAGTATTGTGGTTCTTGGCACGAATGAAGTAGTCTTTCATCTGAGATTCCTCCATAGGGGGTCTGGCCCTAGCCGCTTCAGACCTCCATTTTATGGTGTAGTCTTTGAAGGATTCACTAGATTTCTTCTTCAAATTTTGAATGTAAAACCAATCAGGTGCATTTTCTATATTAAAACCAAACCTGTTCATGAAATCTATTGCCATATCTACCCACTCTACCCATTTCCGTGAGTCTTGCTCAATATACTATGCTAGGGCCTCCCCGGTAAGACTCCTCATAAACAGCTTCATGAGTATCCTCTCGTCTCTTCCCACCCCTACAAGTTTGTCACTGTACATTCGTAGGTGGGCTTTGGGATCCCCAATGCCGTTGAACTTCTCGAATTTTGGAAGCTTGTATCCTTCGGGCAGTTCTACATCAGGGTGCATTCACAGATTCTCATAGCTCAGTCCTCCTAATCTCTTGTTTCCTTCATCATGATGCACCCTGTTGGTCAAGCTATCTAATTTCTCAATTAGTTTTTTTATCAGAATGTCCTTTTGGTGGGACTCTGATTCATGGAGGTCATGGGTCAAAGGAGTGGTTTCCACATATATTTGATTGAGGTTGTTGTTTCCAAGAGTATATGGGGGATTTGCATTAGGGGTTGTTTCTGGGAGGGTTGGCTTGATTTGTTGGTAATAATGGTGGAACGAAACTTAGGTATTTTGGGCATAGGGTGGTGGAAAGGTATTTGGATGAGTGGGTTCAGGTCGGGATATATTGATTGGAGGATTATTTGGCATGGTTGTTTGGTTCTTCCTCACACTAACCAAATAACCATGCCAAATAATCCTCCAATCAATACATCACGACCTAAACCCACTCATCCAAATACCTTTCCACCACCCCATACATAAAATACCCAAGTTCCGTTCCACCATTATTACCAAAAACCAAGCCAACCCTCCCAGAAACAACCTCAAATGCAAATCCCCCATATACTCTTGGAAACAACAACCTCAATCCAATATATGTGGAAACCGCTCCTCTGACCCATGACATCCATGAATCAGAGTCCCACCAAAAGGACATTCTAATAAAAAACCTGACTGAGAGATTAGATAGCTTGACCAACAGGGTGCAACATGTTGAAGGAAACAAGAGGTTAGGAGGACTGAGCTACGAGGATTTGTGCATACACCCTGATGTAGAAATGCTCGAAGGATACAAGCTTCCAAAATTCAAGATGTTCAATGGCATTGGGGATCCCAAAGCCCACCTACGAATGTACAGTGACAAACTTGTAGGGGTGGGAAGAGACGAGAGGATACTCATGAAGCTGTTTATGACGAGTCTTACTGGGGAGGCCCTAACATAGTATATTGAGCAAGACCCACGAAAATGGGTAGGGTAGGTAGATATGGCAACAGATTTCATGAATAGGTTTGGTTTTAATATAGAAAATGCACCTGATTGGTTTTACATTCAAAATTTGAAGAAGAAATCTAGTGAATCCTTCAAAGACTATGCCATAAGATGGAGGTCTGAAGCGTCTAGGGCCATACCCCCTATGGAGGAATCTTAGATGAAAGACTACTTCATTTGTGCCAAGGAAAACCAAAGTTTGTCTTTCAAGCCTAAGTCAATGTCATCATCTCCATAGGGCGAACTACCCCTACCCCACCACCACATGCATTTCGTAACTAAAAGGTGCCTAATCATCCCAACTTGATAGTCCAAGAGGCATTGGACTCTTAAAGGGTGGATTTAGATAAAATAGAATATAAGACTCTCCTAGACACCAAGTCAAACAAACAAGACAAACAAAACAGTCATTTTCGCACAGTAGGTTTCAATTTGACCTCTAAATTTTAATTAAACATATTTGCAAACAACATATAATTGTGAGAGATCTCATGTAGGTGGGTGAGCATACAACCAGAAAATTAGAGTAACGACAATTTAACTATGAGAGGGCAAATATGATAACATGGATGTAAATTTTAGTATTAACTAATTTTAGAGTGAGCAATGATTAATAACATAATAACTTTTGCTTGATTTCCAAGTATAGCAAAAAATGTGATTACACATGCACATATATTAAAAATAGTAGTCGAATTAATTATTATGGTGGAAATTAATATTTTATAACAAAAGACTCAATTTGTTTAGGGCAGAAAATTATTTTAAGGACACCAAATTCTATTTATTTAAGGCAGAAAATTATTTTTTAAGAATAGCAAATAAATTTATTATTAAATACAACAAATTTTAGATAAGTGACAAATTTATTATTAATGCAGAAAATTATTTATTTAGAATATTGATGGATTTACAGATTGGTTATTAATGTGAAAAATATATAATTTAGGCATGAATCAATTACAATGAAAAAAATTAATTAATAGCAGATTTTAGATGCAAAAGCGGTTAATTATTATGCAGAAAAATATTAACTATTATTTTTTTAGATTTTTATAGGAAAATTAGTATGACAATTTTTTAGGAAGAAATACAAAATAATAATGTATGCAGAAAATTACTCTTTTTCATAGAGTTGAAAAATATTGATGGATTATATAGTTCTAAAACATGCTGAAAATTATTAAGGAGTGACTTTAATGCACATTCTTATTTAATTAAATTTTATATGTATGTTTTCTAAGTGAACATATTGAAACTTATTAATAAGATAAGAATTCATATTAACAAACAAGGGACAAATTGACAATTAAAGCTTTTGCTCCTTTTAACTAAGTTAGCATACTAGAGATTAGCTAATGATTCCTATGATTTTAGGCGATTGGAAAGTTAAAACAACACATATAGATGAAGCAAAAATATTTTAAACCTATCAGCATGCTTTCTAACACAAAAAAAATATTACAAATTTGCGTATAATCCCCCTCCCCTTAGATGATCCCCCAAATTCATTTTATATATATAAAGTTAAAGAGTTGTACAAACATTACAAGTAAAAATAAAGAACGAATAAACATATATATATAACAATAAAATGAACGAGGCTTCGTCCACAATTTTTTCTAGGCAAATCTTCAACATCTTGAACTCTAAGTGCAATACCTGGTAGAAGAGGTAATGTAACACATATATGATGAGGAAATAGTTGTAATATAAAATTCTCATAGTAACAAATTACTTTCATATGTGCATATATAAACAACATACATAAGAAATAAAAGGGACAAAGCATAGATGGAGACATATTACAACATATAGGGAGAAAGGATAAGAGAAATATCTTGGATGCTTCCTTTTGTTTCCAACAACAACAATGATAATTATGCAAAAACGAGATTTTAGAATAGTAAAGAAGGCTAACCAATTATGCAGAAAATTTTATCAGCAATGAAGTATTAAGTGAGGTTTCGATCCACTACAGCAACACAGCAAGAAAGAGTTCAAAGGATGATTCAAAGATTTACAAGAGTTCCAACTTTTTTAAGAATAGGAGAGTAATATTTAAAGTATTTAAAGAAAAGGCAAACTGGGAATGAGAGAGCAAAGTGTAATGAGAGAACTTGTTATTGAGAGTACTTGTGTTGAAAGTGAATGAGTGAATGAGTTAGTGAATTGAAAGAATGAGAAGAGGTCTCTTATATAGTAGAAGAGAGGGGAACAAAAATAGGAAAAGAAATAAATTAGAATAATTTATGAGCATAATATTCTTTTACCATAAATAAAGAAGAACCTAAACAATATTATTCTACCATATATAAACAAGTAAGAAATAGGTAAGTTTACAAATAAGGAAAGACAGATCAATTAAACTTATTCTTTTTTTAAGAGAGCCAAATCAGATTATTGAAAAAAAATATATATTACCAAACTTAAGCAAGAGTAAATTTAAAAGAGAGTAATAATATTTTCCTTAAATAAAAAAGAGCTAAAATCAAAAAAAAAATTATTTTATTATCAAAAATACACAGGTAAAAGATAAAGTTAAAAAAATAATATTCTTTTACCTTAAATAAATAAAAGTCAAAATAAAATTATTTCAAAAATATTTTATACTAAATATAAAATAAATAAGAAATCAATGCAATTTTCTTAACTTAATTAAATATCACTTTTCTGAAAATACAACATATAAGAATATTAAACAATGCATTTATACTAGACGTACACCAAAGGTGAAAGATCTTCTTGGATTCACCAACATGTACTATTTTTTTTTAATTTTATATATGTTTTATAATAAAGTTATTTCTCGTACATTCTATTTGTTTTTGTTTTGTTTTTTTTGATATTATAATTTAGTTTTCATTGGGAAAAACAAAAGGGTAGAAACTAGGAAGCAGTGTGGATGGATAAGCAAAATCATGACCAAAAATTGAGAGACAATAAGAAGTGGCAAACAAGACTCATATGTGATATGTGGTAGCAAATATACCACTATATTGCAATCTTTTTTTTGTCTCAAAATTGAAACATTTTATTGAATTTTATTTTTATACATCGTAAATTATAGCATTAATAACACAATATTTTATTTAATTCTAATACACCCTATTATTTAGAATAATAAAACAAATTATCCATAAAAAATTTGTGTCACTATAACCAATCTCAACATTTTTAATTTTTATATTTTTAATATACCTTATTCAATATTATTTTTATATATCCTATCGAACAATCCAAAAAAAATAAAAGTAGCCTAAGAATAAATAATTAATTAATTTTGTAGTTTTATCACTTCTGGATAATTCATACATGTGCACGTTTGATGTGGACTAGTAGGTTGTTATTCATTGTCTCAATTTTTTTTTAAAAAAAAGATTCCTTGTAGCCTACATGTATTATAATTTCATGGTAGATAAATGTAAAAAAAACTTTCTAATGTATTTTTCAACTGTAAATTTCATTTTAATATCATAGTAAAAGATTTACGTTTAAATTTATAATAAACATTAGTTAATTCGACTCTTGTATTTTAAATGAAGCCGAAAAATTGGAACAAACCAAAATATATAATGTTAGGCTAACAATAATTCCCTGTCCACTAGTCTCACATGTCAATTTAGCTATTATTTATTGGATTATCTTTTCTTTTTTCATTCAATGTTCGAAGTTCATATTAGAGTCCGACTAAATTTAAATTACGTATTACAGGACTTATTTGATGGTGACATTCCTAACATAATTTTCCTATATTCGAGACTTGAACCTGAAACCTTTAATTAAAAGTGAATCACTCTCACCATTCATGCTATTAAGAACACCAGTAAAAGATATTAGTTAAAAGATTCTTTCATGTGAAAGAGTTCCTTCTTCTGTCGAGATTTTGTTCCTTAGGGTGAGGAAATTCATATCCAGTTATAATTTATTGAAAGTGAAGCTTAATTTTGGTATCATCTTCAAGTATTTGATTGTCTTAATATTATTTTGCGTAAATCTATATTTTTTTAATTGCATATTGGAAAATAGCAGTATGATTTTATTTTTTTTGTTGTCTTGCATAATGATAGATGATTGCCTTGCCATTTTATTCATAATAATTTATTTTCTATTTATTTAGTTTGGGGCCAATAAAAATTGCATTAAACTGATAAGTACTCATTCATTTTCAATTAAAAAATTGATGGTTTAAGTTTCATATTTTGAGTTCGAATTTTTTTAAATATGCGTTTGTTTTTTTTAGAGATTGTTGTCGAGCGAAAAATTACAACAAAAAAAAATTATAAAAAAATTGGGGAAGCATTAAAAATTTGGCCTACTAAATTACATAAAAAAGTTTTAATTTACGAATTTGGCACCCAACATACCCATGTTTCAGGCTATAAAATTTATAGTTCATAACAATAAGATCTTCTATAAATCATTTTATACTACTCCCTTTTCAGGCTAAAAAATTTTCATTAGTTCTACATCAACTTCGTGTTGTATTGCCAATTATTATTTTTTGGTTTGGTTCTACCTCGATTTTGTTATTAGATTTGAATATTAATTGATTTTTGGGGTTTTCTATCGATATTTTGAAGGTAAAGATCTGAAAAAATATTGAAGCTTATTTGTGTATTTCTGATTTGTCTCGATTGGGTGATGTTGATTTTTATTTGAAACGTCTTAAAGGAGTTTGATGTAGAGTTTGGAGATGAATTGAAACAGATTTGAGCTAAATTTCTAATTAAAAATTTGAGGTTTAAGATGACTTCGTATATATATTTCGTTGTATGTATCTCATGTATATTCTAATGTATACCAGTATAGAGGAGCGGCTAAAATGGGCTTATCTCATGGGGCCGACCTAATTCAATCTGATACTGAAAAAGGATTGAGATGAAATTTTCAAGCCTATTTAAAATAAGGGTTTATAAGCTTAACTCATATAAGTCATTGTCCTTGATCGGGGTCGACCCACGAGCCTAAACTATTTATTTAAGGGTAATTTATAGAAAACTCAGTAGTGTATGAGGTAATTACTTAGGTGCACACTATGATCTTATCAAATTTTGGTGCATCCACATACATGGACTCAAAATTCGGTTTAATTTGTTTTAGATATACTATCCAAGTGAATTCACATGTATCTAGACATAGACAAATCTCACGCGCTCGCCTTTCTCCAGTTTCACTCGTCACTCTCTTGTCTCACACGTGTATCTGGCATACAAAACTGAAACTCTAATGTTGTTAAATCTGCAATGAATATTTATCATGTTCAATATAAATGTTCTTGATACATAAATACTACATAATGTATCATTTATATGTATCAAGTTATATAATGTATCTTAAATCTTAATACATAAATCACAATGTTTTATAACTGGAATACTGTGTATCAAATCCAATAATAAGTATATTATATATGTCAATGTCAATCTTTTACTACTAGATACACATATCTAAACTTATTCAACTAGAAGGCTATATCTTTATACACGTTACCTAATAAATACACTTGATACATAAATCCTAATGTTTTATAGTTAAATCACTGTGCAACAAATTAATTAATTAATATTTACATGATACATAACATATATCAAATTCAATAGGTTTCGACTTTATATCACGTATCATATGCATATCAACCGATCATCACTGTGTTATGTGTCATACACACAATAAATATGTTATTTGCAAGCGTAATTTATGAGATTTTAATTAGATTTCTTTTTTTTTCTCTTTTTAGTGTAATAGTTTGATACATAATTTATCAACATTAGTGTATTCAGATAGTGAGTTATGCATTAGAGATAAGATGTAATTTACTCCGCTTACCCTATGAATTTTATTTAAGTTATACTTATATTTTGATATGTTGCCATTAAATAATTTTGAGGCCTTATTTTTTAAGGGCCCAAGCCATTGTTTCATTAATTGTATAGAGTGACAAATAATAATATAAAATAAATATAGTAGCTACCTTTTGATTTATTTGTGTTCCATAGTTTGTTAGTCCCTCTCTCCCTCATATTTTCGTTCGCCACTCTCCCTCTCTCGCTCGCTTTCTTCGCTCGCCTCTCTCGCTTTATACAATTGTGTTTCTAATTGTATAAAGCGAGAGAAAATTATATATACACATGCGAATATATATCACCGTCTTATACACTTATAGTTATACAATTAACGTACTTCCTTGCCCAAGTCTCTTTTATCTTTCTCTCTTTCTCGTTTTATACAAATTCAAATTGTATATAATTTCTCTCTTTCACGTTTTATACAATTCGATTCAATTGTATATTCCTTGCCCAAGTCTCTTTTGCCTTTCTCCCTTCTCATTTTATACAATTCGATTCAATTGTATATTCTCTGCCCAAGTCTCATTTGTCTTTCTCCCTTTCTCATTTTATACAAATTCAAATTATATATAATCGTCCTATACACTTATAATTATACAATTCATTTTACATACTTCGTTTTATACATTTCTCTGCACAAATCTCTTCTCATTCTCGTTTTATACAATTCGCTTCAATTGTATATGTATAGCGAATCATACATATATATGTTTGCTATGGAGCGCAATTGTGCAAACTTTGCTACAACATACAAATATAAATTTTATATTTGCTATATGTGAAAGTTGTCCTTGCTTCATTTGCTTTAGGATTGAGCCACCTCTACTAGTATATTTCACAATGTTAAATGTATTATGTATTATTTATATGTGTCCATGAAAATTTTATGTGTTATACCTCATATAGATCCTAACATATGCATAACATAGCAGCGTCACTTTATCACTAAACAAGCAAACAATAACAATGTTTAATGCGTCATAGTAAAACAAGTCTCATTAGGTGACAATATGTGTATCTAATTATATTTACTAGGTTTATGAGTATTTAATCCAATAAAAAGAAAGTAATTATTGCCCTTATTTATTTTATTGAAAATTTATGGAGCAAATTACTTTTACATATTCAAATTTGTCCCGTTCAATCAAAGTTCTGTAATATTTATATATAAAAAAAATTATCATTTAAAGTTAAATTTTTGCTAAGCTCGATATAAGTTTTGTAAAATTAAGTTATGCAACATAAATCATGTAGTATTTTTAGAATTTTGTTGTAGTGTTTGGTGATTGAAGTTGTGCTTTTGAGAACTTATGTATGTCTTTTCGGTATAAATTGT